AACCCTCCCCCCCACCCCGTCACCCAAGTGAGAGACTCAGACCCCACCCCATCTGGGGCCCACCAGTCTGGGCTTCATAGGATAGGGTACCTCAAGGGTGGACCTTACCCAGTGGTTGTCTCTGACCTTTCCTCAGTCCCCAAACCCACCAGCGGCTCCTTAGAAATTCTATGAGTTGGAACTGACTCGATGGCACTTCACAACAATCCCTCCTACATGCACCACTCAGCTTTCAAGACCCTCCTACTGTTTCCCAGATAACAGTGGGCCACGTTTGCCCTATGTATGGTGAATGCCAACATGTCTGAGCCAACCCATGCAGCCCTGCACAATTGGGGGCACCGCTTGCCCAAGACTCTCTGGATATCGTGAGACTCTGTGGCTCCCCTGTGCTTCCCAGCGGCCTTTGCTCCCAGGCAGAGGCCTCTGTGGAGGGTCCGGTGTTCCCATGGCAGCAATCTTAGTGCAAGCCCACTACCAGCTCTCCAAAGCAGCCTCAGAAGCCAGCCAGCCTGTTGACCAGGCATGTGTTGGTACCTGGAGTCCAGGCAGTGTGTCTCTAGTCTCTATCCAGGGTATCTCCCAAGCAGCTCTGGCCATGTCTGAGAAGACAACTGTATTTGGGACAGGGCACAGGGGTCCAAGCTGAAGCTGGGGGGCTTCTGAATGCCACAGCCCTCCTGGCAGCCACTAAGTAGATCAACCCAAGGATATCAAAAGGCCACATGACCCCGTGGGCATGTGGATAGGCACTTAACTGCCTTTGGGAGCTGCTTGCCACGGAGGATCACTGCCACCACCAGTTGGCCCTGTGGGTGAGGACCTGGGGACCAAGAAGGGGCCCTGGGCAGCAGGGGATGGAGGGAAAGTTTGCCCAAGGCCCACTCAGGACTATGATCTAGCTGAGTCCCTCTGCCCTTGTTGGGCACTGCCCCCTTAATCCTGGTACCACATAACCTCCTGCTCATCCCTTTGGGCACCACACCACACACACACACATGCACAAGGGAGATCCAAGGCAGTCTCTGTGGAGGGGGCATGCAAGCCTTGTCTGATGGCCCAGCTGAGGAGGGGGACCGACTGATGCCTGGGGTGGGGCAGTAACAGGGCTCAGATGTGTGCCCGGAGCAGCCACTGGGGGTGCTGGCAGGAGTGCCTGCCTATTGTTGAGGCAGCCTGGGAGACATCTGGGCGGGGGTGTTGAGTGGGTTGTGCAGGCTGAGCTCCGGAGGGGCCTGGGCTAGAGGACATATTTGGGAGTCGTGAGTACTGGGTGGTATTTCCAGCCCAGGAAGAGATGAGCTCACCCTGAGGATGGCTAGAGAAGGGATGGAGTGGGGGGCCTCCTGCTGGGCAGCTGGGATGTCAGCCACCCCAGTGCCTGGGCTCAGCTCCCACCCACTCGCCACTCCCACCCCTGGCCCAGCCAGTTCCCAAGATCTGGACCTGAACAAGTTGGAGGTGGGAGGCAGTGTCTAGTCTCCGTTCCCTGCACCCAGAGACCTTAGAGGAAGCTAAGTGAAACATATGGAGCATCTAAATTTCCGCTGAATGATGCTGGTTGGCTCACCCATCCAAGGGTCCAAGTTGGTCACAGGGGCCACCTGTGGACGAAACCCATCACACCTCACAGACTTCCTGTGTCTCAGACCACCCCTCAAGGATGCAGGGGTAATCTGAACCTCAAGGATGTCTGAAAGAACAGGTTCTGAGGGTTGCTTCTGAGGTATGCCTGCAACCCCTGGGGCCCTGAGAAGGCAGTCAACACACACCTGCTCAGCACCTCGGTAGGGCTCTTGTCCTCAGACAGGAGCGCCTGCTCTGTCTTCTCTGGCTGCCCGGGGCTTCACAGAGTAATTGGAAGAATTACTTTTTAATCCTTAAAATCATTCTGAAATAATAGAAGGAGCTGACTCTTCCCTAGCTAAGGGTAGATTCGTGTCCAGTGAGACTGAAGCTGTGCATAAAACATGTTCAGAGGGAAGAAAGTGTTTGCTGAATGAGGTGGGCACCGGAGGCTAGTAACAGCAGCAGCTGGGGTGGAGGCCCCTGCTCACGGCCAGGGTCCCCAACTCCCTGAGCCCCAGGCCTCATGCAGCCCCTCTCAGCACATCCCCAGGAAAAGCACGCCAAAAGCACCACCTCTATTATGTGACAAAATGGAGGCTACATATTGGATGGAGGTGGTTGTACCAGTGGCACTCACTCTGACAACCCCAATGATGACTATGGTCTGCCGCAGAGGATTATGGGACCTGCTCCACCGCTCCAGCTTCCCGAACAGCTTCTGCCTTCTGACCTCTGCTCCTTTGTCACTCAGCCAGGTGGCGTGGATACAGTTGTGCACCCCGGGTTGCAACCCCTTGCTGCAGTGAAGGGCTAGCTTCAAGGACCCATGCAATTCAAATGCATTTGTTATTCTGGTGTCTGTCTTCCCGAGGCCTGTGTTTCTTGCTACTAGCCTTGGCTTGGATCCTGTCTTGCCTTTTTTCCTTCATGTGGATTTGATTAGCCCCAATTTCCCTCACCTGGCACTGCCTGGACCCACAGATGATAGCCTGGGAACCCAGCAGGGATTCCTTGGGTGTACAGACGCAGACCAGGAAGACAGACTTTTCCCATATGGCCAATATCTCCAGACGACCTTGCCCACCTGCAGTTCTCTCACCTGTTAATCATGCCTCTTCCCAGTGCCAGCTATCCGACTTAACTCCCACATCCCAACTTGGTCCTCCTGCCTGCCCCCTGGGGGGTAAAGGGACCTGTGACTGGGCAAAGAGGACATGGATATCCCTTTATACCTACTCCACATCTCACATCCTCACAGCCCTGTAAGGACATGCACTCGTTGTCCAGG